CTTCGCAACTGTGCCCAGACAGCCACTAGAAGAGCCATCCAGAGCCCGTGACCCTTCTCCATGTGGGGGATCGACATCCTAGGTCCTTTACCCATGAGTCGGGGCCAGTGCAAATTTATGGTGGTAGCCATCGACTATTTCACTAAATGGGAAGAAGCCGATGCCTTAACCAGAATAATAGACCAGAAGTGAAAGAATTCATCTAGAAGAGCATAGTCTGCCATTTTGGAATACCTCATGCAATTGTAATCGATAACGCCAAGTAGTTTGACAATAAGCTTCTGCATTGACCTACAGATCAAGCAGCCCCACTCTAGCCCAGGCCATCCACAGGCAAACGGACAGGCGGAGGTTACCGTCAGAACCATCCTCTGTAACTTGAAAACCAAATTGGAGAGTGCGAAGGGGCGATGGGTGGACAAGCTCCTAGGAGTACTATGGGCTTACCGGACAACACCAAGAAGCCCCACGGGTGAGACCCCTTTCTCCTTAGTCTATGGGACAGAGGTGGTCATATCGGTCAAAATTGGGGTACACTCCCTTAGGGTCCAACACCATGAATCTACTACTAATGAAGAAGGCCTCCGCATCAACCTCGACTCAGTAGAGGAGGAGAGGGAGATAGCCATACTCAGGAATACAGAGTACAAGAGTTGCATGACCAAGTACTACAATTTAAGGGTGAAGTCTCGCTCCTTCTTGCCAGGGGACCTAGTCCTAAAAAAGGTCATCCTATCTACTAAAGATTCTCGGGAGGGGAAGCTAGGCCCCAACTGGGAAAAGTCCTACACGGTCACAAAAGTTGTAAGACTGAGCACCTACAGAATTCAGAACTCTGAGGGGAAAGTCCTGGCTCTAGGGATGTCAATGGACCGAAGCGGGGGCGGGGGGTATAGTCTTCATCCCCGTACCCTCTTAAAAAACCTTCGTCCATCCCTGATCCACCCCCGCTAACGGGTATAATTTTTATCCTCATCCCCGTCTGTGGATAAATTTATAATCCTCGTCCCCGTTTCCCTCGTACCTGTACCCGCCCAAGCCCAAGCCCAAGCCCATGCCCAAGCCAAGCCTAAGTACAATTTCAAGCCAACATACTAATCACAACAACACAAAAGAAACACATCCATTACACATGTTTTAATATATCCAATAAACATCCTAATGTTTTAATAAATTCAATGCTCCAACAGCACAAAAGAAACACCTCAGGAGCAACATTGACAACAAAACGACAGCACCTCTAACATAATCATAGCAGCAAAACAGCCCTAGAAAAATAGCACCAGAAGCAGCCCCAGAAAAATAGCACCAGAAGTAGCCCCAAAACAGCACCAGAAATAGCATAGAAACAGCCTCAAAAACACCACCAAAACACACATTGAACCAACCTAATTGAACACAAAGAGACATATTAAAAAGCCCCAAGTTCAATAATAAAATATAAATCAAAGATTAAAATCCATTATAATTTATTTTAACAATCCATTACACAAGGGGGAAAAGATCAATGGTATTGGTAAGCTAATTCTTAAAGATTGCAGTAATGGAGACCAATTAATATAGTAATCGGTCTGAATGCCCTAATAAAACATGTGTTTCATTCAAATTCTATGAAACATGTGTTTCTTGATTACCATGCTAATGGTAACTAAGATTCTGGATAGTGAGAAAATTAAAGCAGTTTTATTACATCGACCACATGAAGGCGCAAAGATGGAGAAGGAGAAAATGACAAAGTTACTTGGCAGTGAATGATGGAGGAGCTAGGCACTGTGATCTGAGCTGATGCGTGGTCATCAGTGGCGTTGTTGCTGCTGGAGGGGGAGGGAGATATGAGATATGTTGATGATATATTTTAGTGGTAATGGATATGAAAAGTGAAAGCTGGAGGAGTGAGCTTTGGTGTGGACAAAGGGCTGTTTCAGCCATTTACAAAGCTATTTCTTAGTAATTTCAAGACAGAAGGGCTCATTCGGCTGGGTTCTTTGGATTTGGGATGTACTACATATGACAAACCTAGGATGCTTGTGGCTTCAAAGATGAAGATGAATGATGAAGAGGCGTGGGTTTGCAACATATGCTCAGATCACCATTTGTGTGTGTGAGAGACAGAGAGAGAGGGGGGCGACTTTGATTGAGGAAGAGGAGTAAGTTAGGCCTAGGGTTTTAATTAGGAGTTTATATATATATATATATATATATATATATATATATATATACATATATAAATATATTTATTTATTTAACGGGTAATAGGGACGGGGTGGGGCGGGGACGGGGCGGGGGCAAGGGTAAGTCCATCCCCGGTCCAAACGGGGCGGGTTTAGATGAATACCCATTTTTTTTTAGGTCCACTGCCATCCATACCTAGCCCATCCATGGAACGTAGAGCACCTGAAGAAATATTACCAATAACTAGGGAAGAAACAGTGGCAAGTTATTGGTCACCATTTAAACTATTTCTTGTTGTTTTAGTCAATTTTCATTGTTATCTACGTTAGATTATGAAATAAAATTTTGCAAGATTTTGTCTTTTTCAAAAGTTGTCCCTTGTTCTGTAGAAGTTCATAAACTATTTACAAAAGATAAAACATGACCTAGTGACAAAAAGAGAAACATGTAGATAAAAGTACTGTACTCCTGACAATCACTCACTGCTCTCCGATCCACTCTCATCAAAGCTCTCCTCCTCGTCATCAGTCCCTGGTGCCTCATAGGGGACGAAGCTAGAAAAGTCATAGGCAAGAAAAGCTTCTGAGACCTTCCCCTTAAGTCCCTCAAAACCATTAATAAAGGCGTCTACCACAAACTTCTCAGCAGTATCCTTCTTCTTCTCTATTTTAATAGAGTGAGCCTCTGCTCTGGTAGTTCTCTCAAGAGCTACTCGAAGGTCAACATCTGCCATGACAGCCCTTTCCTGAGTTATCCGTAGCTCGACTCTACTCTAGCATCCCTCTCATGGGACACTCGTAGCTCTGTCTTTTCTCTCATGCAGACAATTTCTCTGTTAGCCTCCAGTTGGGTGACCCTATCATGGGAAGCCAAAAATTTAGTCTCAAGGGGCGTAGCTCTCTCGTGTGCTAGCCTCAACTGCTCCTCGACAGCCTCTCTTGTCTGCCTATCAAGCCCCAGCTACTCCTCAACAACCCTCCATGCTTGCCTTTTTGCTACCAGGTCTCTAAAGGCCTTTTCAAGCTTCATCATCCTTGAAAAGTAGGGAAAAATGATAGCCACCTACAAACATGCAAAAAGTAGGACATGAGGGAAAAGAAGCGGGTACAAAATTAAAGATAAGTAAAAGACATACCAAAGCAAAGCCTTCCATAGCAGTGTTAATGATGCCCTCTGGACCTCAAGAACTGACCTCTTGGATCTTCGTAGCGATCACAAATTTCCAAAGTCGCTCATTGGCCAAATTCACGTCCCACAACATGGATACTGAACCACTACTAGTAGTAGGACAGCTATGCGGAGCTCCGGTCCTCGTAGTAGACCGCACTAGAGCCCCAATCCCTATAGTCGTGCTCAGACTAGCTCTAGAATGCGATGTAGTCACTGTCGGAGAAGGAGTGGGGGCATCTCACCGGGTCCCACCTCCCGTGAAGCAACTTGACCAACGGACCTCAGTTGGAAAACATTGGGGGCATCAGACTTTACCCTCTTAGAGGAAGGAGGGAAAGGTGCCACCCTGAAAGCATAAAGAGCCTCCACTATTGCTCTATCGACAGTAGAACCTATAGGATTGGTGTAAGACAAAGAATCTATCGTGCTACAACCATCAAAAGTCTATTAAAGGATCAGATACCTTTCCTCTTCTGCCTAGGGGAGACCTTGGGATGATCCGATGAATACATGATGGCTGAAAACTCCTTGAAAGGATGATCCTGCACTACCTAGAGTCTACTCTCTTGCTTAACAGATAATGTGGGTGGAGATGCAAAGGAACCAAACACATAGTAAGAACAGACACGTGACAATTAGATGTAAAAGAAAAAATGCAATTCTTACCTAGCTTGGTCCTCAGAATAGTGTCGCACCTTGAAGGCACTAAGTCATGGTCTCCCTCAGCAGCTCACTCGCCTTTGAGAAAGAAGAACCTAGACTTCCAATTGTGGCAATTTGAGGGTAGTCCAGTAATAAGTTTGTCCGATCATGGGGCAAAACGATACCACAATTAATGAAGAGCAGGGTTCTCCAAAAACACGTATGAAGTCAAAAACTCCTCAAAAGGAGGAGGAACATCAGCACTGTGAACTAGCCACCATAAAGAGAAGAATGCTAGGATCACTCTCCATCCGTTGGGATTCAACCTTCCTAGAGCCAGAATCTAACAGATGGGTCTGGGTATCGGTAACCTCAAACCCGCCTCCAGGATGTCCTCGTAAAAAATAATCTCCCCAGAGGAGTCAAAACATGCCGGCTTGTCCCCCTCTACTCGATGATACATAATAATAGGAGGTATGCAATACAACGATATAATATGGGCAACGTCATCATCAAAATCAATTGAGCTAAAAATAGAGGTTACCTTTGAACTATTACCCGTAGTGATCCCTCTGCCTCGTTGAGAGCCTTGTGTAGCAACCTTCGTCATGTCCTTATCAGAGTGGGTGCCTACCAACAAACAAAACCAAGACAGAGTCAATGTCAATGTTAAGGGAATAACAACGTCAAAGTAAGGTGAGCTGAGTTCTCGCGTTGTCAGATATTCAAAAAGTATACACGTGCAAAATCTATTTTTTGTAGTTAAAGTTCAAATTTTGTGAGAAGGAAGCATTTTTTAGAGAAATTTGGTGCCCAAACTGTCATGGCGGTTTGGATGTCCTAGATCTCAAAAAAATACCCAGATTCAAAAAAGCCGTCGTCACAAATAGACAACCAAGTGCAAAGTTATTGCTGTTAAAAGTTTTGCCTTGCTAGAACCCTTGCTCAGTGCCTCTGGCGTTACCTCTTGTCACCCGCATGTTAGATCTGCTTGGCCCATTGACGTCATCCAATGACTAAATCCATTTGGAGGCGTCCCCTTTTGAAGCTTGGCTATCATCGAAAGAGCCACTAAAGGCATCGCCTAGCGCGCTAGTGCCACTTAGCTCTTTGCTGGTGTCGCCTAACACCAAGGTCGATGCGTTCTCATTCTTGTCTTCCCCCAAATTGCAACCGATCTCACAAAGGGACCCACCAGCAATGGCATCGCCACCAGATCCTTCGCCATGGATACCTGCACCCTGGGCGCTGCCACCTAGCACTCAACCCAAGTTGTTATCAGCGCTGCCTAGGTCCTCGTCTGAATAGCCTCCCATACCTCTAGCCTTTGAGGCATCGCGAAGGGCCCCATGGGTGTCGTCAAGTGCCCCATGGGCGTTGCTTGTTAGCTCCTTACGAAGGGCCCCAGATCCCATGGTGACGTCACTTTGCTCCAACCCAATGGTGCCTCTAGCCATTGCGACCATGTCGCCAAAAGCCCCATTGGCACCGCCTGAAGCACGAAAGGTGCCGCCAATAACTCCATCGCTTGGGGCGCCACTGTTTAGCATCCCACTACCTGGCTCGTCGATGCCATCTGAGCCTTTGCCATCGCGGCCACCCTCCTACACTTGTCATAGGGCACCACCTATGCAGCTAAGGAGACCTCCTATGCACCAACGCCTGCCACGCCATTCTGGTGTTGCTTGTGCCTGGCGCCGCCCTACCCAGTGCATTGCCTAAGCCTGGTGCTATGACCTGCATCACCTTTCTCCCTCCATGGGCATAGCCATCCAAGCCCACCATCTGACCTCTCCTCTCTTTCGTAGCGATTTCCCCCATGGAACTTGCCTTTGAGGTTTTTCCCCCAGTCTCCATTGTTTGTATTAATGAAGGGATATTTCCTACTACCTAATTTATGGGTAAAGAAGATGGAATAGGAGTAAGCAAGTAACCAAAGGCATGTATGGGTATACCAATTTTCAAAGGAAAGGCCTAAGAGTGGAACCCTAGGTAAGAAGAAGGATTTTGCTTTCAAAAGAAAGAAAAGAAAATTTCGCAGAGCGTGGAGGTGGGGAGCTATCACCATGTAGAACAAGAAATCTTTTGCCTAAATAAAGAGCTCACTCATGCCCTCAATCTCCTTGACACAACAAGGAATTGGGGCATAGGGGGCAAATGATGAGCCCAAATTTAACTGGGTCAGACCCAATTAATCAAGTAAGCCCAAATCAGCTAAAAGGCAGATCAAGCCCAACTCGTGAATTTGACCCAGTCCAGAGTTCAATGAGTCCAAGAAGATTAGCACACGTGGGGAATAATTGTCGGGATAACCTCTCTCCAAGATTGAGGCTATCTCTAATTGTACCTATCCTAGTTACAGTTGTCCTCTCCTATAAGCTAGTACCCTACCCATCACGTCACCACCTCACCTAAGACTTTGTGCCTATAAATTGTAAGTTTTCTCCACATGAGAGGGGCATCTCTCTACACACCACTTACACAACTATTCCTCTATCCTAGCTAGACAACCTCTCATGGAGCTTACCTCTGCTCTCTTCCTCTTGCTTGGTAGTGTTCACCCTAATCTCCAAACACGAACCCAAATTTTATATATGGCTTATGTGTGTAGGTGAGTGTCACTCTCTATTGGGTTTGACGCTAGAAATAGGAAAAACGTGTGTGTGAATGAAAATGTGTGGGTGCAAAAGTGCTCCCCAAGCGAAGAGAGACTTGCGGGTGTCGTATTTTACTTGGAATGGGTATTTCAAGGTCGTTTCCTCAAGGAAGAAAGGTTAAATTGTGATGAAGGTGATTTTGTGAAAAATAAAAAGTGTAAAATTTTATGAGTTTGTGTTTTGGTGAGTGGAGATTTTTGATGAAATGCAATGAAAACAAGGTTGGCTAATCCGAAGGAGTCATTCTAATGGGAATGCCAAATCAACTCAAAATATTATTTGAAAGGTGTCTCAGTGCTTGATTGATTTATAGGAAGTGATGGACTTATCTGGAGGTGTAGGCTCAAGCATACCCTATGATAAGTCTACAATGTATCAAGAACTAATAACCACATCCATACTCAACCTAGTCAAACCAAACACCTTACACTACGAGGAAGAATGAAGGAAAGTTGATTTAGCATATCCAAGAGGAAATCTCCCTTGGATTAGCCAACTAAAAACTTTGCTACTCATAATGGATGCAAAGACATTCATAATTTAAAGAAACATAGTGAAGAAATGAAGATTAAAACTTGAATTAATGCACAAAAAAGTTAAACTACAAAGATAAGTTCATTTCATACCCAACTACAAAGCTTGAGAAGAAAAACTCAAATGCAAACATGGTGCATTCAAGAATATGTAACTAAACTTGAAATACACTTGAAATAAATGAGATTAAAGTGTAAGAAATAAAGATTACAAGAGTATTATAGCTTACTACAAGCGAAATGGGTAAGGAAATGCAAAAATAAAGCTTTCTCTCTCTAAAACTATGTCTTCTTCCTTGGGAACTTCTCTCTAAAAGCTTCTCTACCTGAATAAATGTGTAAGGATCCTCATTTTTGTCCATCAGCCCCTATAGTCTGTGAGAGCATGCTTCCCATTAATGATAAGTGATTTGACACTTGCACAGGCTAGGACAAGCCAAGCCTGCAACCCACCATGCCTCATTCGTTCTCTATCTTCCTTTTTCATGCTAAATCTTCCAAAGTTAGATTCTACGAGTAGGTAGGCATGCTTGTATATAGAATATGTTAGGGGATGTGTTGGAGAAACATAGGTGGGCCCCCAAGAAGGAAGAGTCTGAGTTATAGGTTTTGTCGTTTGTCAGCAAAACCTACTGGTAGGTTTTCTTCCAGTAAGCAAAACCTTCCGGTAGGTTTGGCAGATGATCCATTAGGTTTTTTTTCAGTGCGCAAAACTTACCGGTAGGTCTATGGGCAAACCTACCGGTAGTTTTTACTTGATTTGCCTTTTTCGTGATCTCTTCACCTTCCAAGCTTCCCGTTGAGCCTCATTTTCTTCTCCATTATCTTTAAGCACTATGATGGAAGCTCAACTAAAGCCATTTTAGCGTGGGTAAGGACTTATCCTAAGATGTCATGATTTTTCAAGTTCAATTTGTGTTTATAGTCTTCTTTTAATATGTGTATATACATGTGTAAAAATTTTTGATTTTGATTTGGCGTTCGAATGTCAGTTTGCGTTCGAACGTAAGAAGCTCACAATACTTTTGCCTCTGCAGAATATCAAAAGTACTAAGATCACCCCACATTCGAACGCATGATGAACGTTTGAACTAGGATTCCACGTTTGAACGCCATTTTCATGTTCAAATGTGAGGAGCTTACGGTACTTTGATCTTTGCAGGACATCAAAAGTACTGGGAGCAATTGTAGTTCGGAAGATAGTTTAACATTCGAACCTTCTTTTAAAATTCATTCTATCGCCATTCGAATGCCTTTCATGTTTGAACGTTGGCTGCTTGGGTATAAGTACTGGTTTCGTCTTCCTCACTTCAAAAACAGCCAAAAACCTTCAAGTTATTCAAACCCTAGATCGCCCCTTCACTACCCAAGCCTCCAAACCCAATTTTTTCCTCATTTCTACCCAAAATCAAGCATCCAAACCACATTCCCATCTCATTTCTCACATTTTAACAAAGAAATCCCAACATTTTCTTGCCCTAAAACCCCAAAATTCGAAAATGCCTCCTAGAATGAAAATGCTCGCTAGGCGAAAGGCGGTCAACCAAGAGCCCAACTTTGTGGAGGAGGTGATTGAGCAAAGGGATGGAAGGCCACCATTGGTCTAAAGGTACAATCGTACTCGCTTCCCCAGTGCTCTCAAGGCCGATAGGTACAAAAATTTCTTTCAAAACCAAGCCATTGTTTGTGAAAGAACTGTTGTTTTGTCGAATTTTGTGGAATTGGGGATTTTTGAGAATGTGGAGGCTCGAGGATGGGATATGTATTTGAGGAATAATGGTGATGTAGTGAAAGAATTGGTGAGGGAGTTTTACTCCAATGTTGAGATTGTGAATGAGACTATCAAGACATATGTGAGGGCAGCTCATATCAACATGGACGAGGATTATATTGTGGAGATGAGGGCCGTATCATGAGTATTAAGGCCTAGCTACCCCCTAAGGAGGAATGTGGAGATGGATGTGGTAGGTGTTGAGTTGACGGGATTTTTCGACGTTTGCATGGGGAGGAAGAAGGTTCTTTAGGCAAGGGGAGTTGACGAAAAAAATACAAGATGCTCAATTTGATTGCCATCTCGAACCTTGCCCCATTGGACGCAAGAACGAGATCCTCCTAGAGATGGCCTGATTGCTATACGCTATCAGAAAGAACCAAAGCATAGATTTCCTATGTTTGATACTGACTGAGATGATTAAGGGATGTGATGCAAAGAGGAATTCACTCTCCTTTGGCATACTAGTGATGGAGATATTCCTGGGTTGAGGAGTGAAGGTTAGGCTAGATATGGGGATGCTCAAGCCAATGGGATTTTTAAATAAGGCATCATTCCGAAGGAGCCAATGCCATAGTGAAGGCCCAACGGCGAGGTAGAATGTGCCACTAGCCCAAGGCACCGATGAGTTCAGGAGGCCTTAGACGCTGAGGAGGAGAGAGAGGCTGAGCTGGCCCATGCAGAGGCCCAAGCAAAGACCAGCACCCGACGGACGTTACGAGATATCATGCTTGGCATCGAGGCTAAGCAAGATGAGATTCTCTGATAGCAAGATGAGATTCTCCGTCTTTCGAGGATATAAAGACCACCATGATTCAAAATTAGTAGTTTTATTAGACCGAGTCGTATTTGAGATGTTGTCTCAGGACCATATTTGTTTTGGTTTGTGGCCACATTGAGTTTTTGTTTGATTAGCCCAAGAGTCAATTTATCAACAAATAATTTTATTTTATTTTTTAAATGACTACAATTAATGTTGCCAAAGTGGGAGAATGTTGAAAATTTTCCATATTAGACTTCCATTAATTTATAGTTAATTTTGGATTTGTGAAAAATGGGCTAAATTTATGGTCCAATGGGATGAGCACAATATTGTTAAGTGATCTATTTTGATAGGCTTATGTACATGTCTTTAATTAATGTGATTGAGGTGGTTAAGCGTAGACCTTAATTTAATTATGACCCATCTCCCTCCACTTCATAACCTAATTTGGCTTGTCCCATTGAAAATCGCCTATTGCTTTGAAAAAGAAAAGGAAGACCTTACCCTGATAGAAACTCGGAGATCAAATATTATGGCTTATACAAGTATGATCTAAACTTTGTAATTTTCATATACGAATCGTTGATAAATTCTTACATTGGGCTCCCTCTCTCCCTTCAATTAATTTTTTCTGAAAAATACTTGCCCCAACTTCAATAAAGTGGGCATCAAGGTTTCAATTCCATCATTCTTGTATAAGAATTAGAAAAATTGGCTATATTAATTAATCTTAACGTGACTATTTACACAATCATGATTTGTAGCTTACTTTAAGTTGTCAGTATAAAACCAATCAAATTAGAGAAGTGTTTATGGAGAAAGATAGAGACTTGATCTACCTATCTTTCATAGTGAAAGCCAAGCTTCTTGTTGAATTGTATGCCAAGAATTAACGTGGGGGGAGACTACTTAAACTTGTCTTCGCTTCCTACGTACTTGCCTCTTGAAGATTGGGGGTGCCCCACTTCTTTTACATGCTTTGTCACGTGGGGGAGTCAACTGTAAATTATAACCTATTATTTTGTTCACTAATTAGTGCATGTGTGTGTTGCACGTGAACAATCTTAACTTATAGTTATACTGATAATGTAAGTTCAAAGATTGAGATTATAACATAATAGTCTCCAAACTAT